CGTGCAGGGCGGCTGGCCATACAAACACGAGGTCATGAACTGATCAATGCATATTCATAATCTTGCTCAAGCGCACCCGCATAATGCCGATGTCATGAATGATTAATGTGTTTATCAGAGGACGAGTCTTTCACGAATGAGATGGGGAACAAAGAATATTGATGTTCGTTTGTGCCTAATTAACCATAAAAGAAAGATAATACTAAACTATGCCTGTACTTGCTCCCTCCCCCCTGCTAATAGTTCATCATCGTTAAAAGAAATTCAGAACCCAGTAGTTTTTCGCACGCATGCAATCATTCATTACAACGCGGCCGCCATTTTGAAATCGCATAGAGGAACATTTTTGGGACGATATTCGTGGGAGATGGTGACTTGAAGTCGTCTTTCGGCCAGATGGATGAACATTTTTGATAAAAGAACGGGTTTTTTTCTCGAAAAGGTATGAGTTCCTCTACGACTAGGAACCTTAACTTTGGAAATTTCTGCCCTGGATGAGAAGATAATCTTGATCAAAATTGATAGCAAAATCGCTACATCAGAGTTTAGCGTTTAGGGGAGCATTGGCTGTCTGGCCGTACTACAGAGCTTGCAATAGTACTGTACGGCCAAATGCAGTCGGGCTACTGGTGGGTGTTCACCTCAAGATCTGCTGATCCGCTTCCACCTTGGGGTGGCTTCCTTTGACTTTTCCTGACCCTTGACTTCTCCTAGCCACCCCACGGGTCCCTGAGACGGCTGCATGTCGTTTCCAGACAGTGACACCCTTGATCTCGTTACCTTCGGCTTCTTGCAGTTTCATGCAAAATGTCCTGAGCACCTTCAATTGTGGCACATCTTCATTGTTTGCCTTCCTGCGTCCGAAAGCTCGTATCGTCTCCTTTGGAACGTTCTCTCCTAGACGGGAAATTATCTGCTGGACAGCTCGATCTACAACTACCTGATTAATCGGAACCTCTCCCGTAGCCTCGACCTCGACCTCCACGATTGGTTCTGTCTGCACCATTCTTACATACTTCTTTGTTTTGTCTGCAGCTCTCTGCTCCTCCACCTTGTGGTAGCTCTCAGCAGCCAGATATGCCTTAATCGAGTCATCCAGGGATGTTGGTTTGGCCCTGAAAATCGCTTCTCTAATCGCCCTTTTTCCAACTTAATCCATGAAAATCCTCTCGCTAGTCGGTACGCCCCTTCCTTCATCTGAGAATTCGGGATACGCCAACGCAGAGAGTTCCCTGATACTCTGCCCTGACTCCAGTTATGTCTCTTTGTCTCAGCTCCCTGACGACGATGTCGCAGCTCCATTAAATTGTACTCCGCCTGTTGACCTGGGCCGAACCTCTGCAGGAATATTTCCTACCCTCCGGCCGCCAGCCCAACACACTTAAAGCTGGTCCCTGGAGGGACAGGAAGAAACAAATTTGCTTGCTCGTCGTTCCACGCATTGGCCATACGACCGGCCATGAAGTGTACTTTATAGTCCTTTCAATGTACCTTCCCGTTAGATCTATCCGGACAAAATAAAATGTTCGGTTTCTTCAACTTTCTCTATCTCTGATTCATCCAAAACGTCTCTCCGAAGAACCGATGTCACAATCTTCCAGCAGGGGGCCCTCGCCAGAAACGGGCTCCATACTGATGTGCATGTACTGCGGGTTTCATACTACGTATCGGGGTTTCTCCGTGTGTGTACAGGGCCGGGGGCCAGAGCTGGGTAAGCTAGCTGATTGCCCTGGCAGTGATACGCGCCCGCTGATACAGCACAGCCTTGAAATTAAGGCTAGTGCTGTAGAGTTATTGTCGTAAGAGCTGACAGGGTAAAAATGTCGTGCCTGACGTACAAATTAAACTTATTTTTTCGTTACTGAGATGTGGAAATCGTAAGTTTTCGTTAGGAGCCTTTTTCGTGCTCTAATCTTTCGGCCACTTGCATTTCTATCTTCTTCTTTTTTTACGTCATTTTGATTTCTATCAGTTTCTTCTTATACCGTGCAACTTTCGCAGTTCGATGTTTATCATCCGACCTAGCCTATCGCCATCGTCTTTACCTTGAGAAATAAGATTTGATGTATTTTGTGTTCCACCCAAAACTCTTATCTCGTCTTCTTTTTTAGCTATATACCTAAACTTTTTGCTGAAAGTACGCTTATATCTAGATAGCGCCCTTCAGCCACGACTCACCAAACACCAAATCCAGTACCAAAGTGAACTGATGTGAACTCTGTTTTTTTTTCATATATTCATGTTATTTGTGCTTTCATACTTTTTCAAGCGTGTTTCCAGTAATCATTTTACAGCAAAACCAACAGGCGCTCTATAATAAACGACTTTACTTGTGTAGTGATTAGAAATAATGTTTCTATAATAAGAATTGTAAAGTTCATTTACAGCCGATTGACGGCGCTGTTTCAGTTTACGGGTCGACCTTCCGTGGATTTGCTTGGGGGTTATATGAATAAAAAGTAGTGCGTGCATAATTAAGGGGTCCTTTTGAGGATATAAGTGAAATAAAAGGGGTTCCATCCATTTTTATAAGGTCGAGTGGTACTGAGGGTAAACTTCCAATAAGTAATGGAAAGTCTATGAGTATCCATTGGTGATTTTTATTCTTAACTGTGTGCGGCTTAATAGTAAACATAAGTTTACGTGAACGGGTTAGTTGCGGGCATTCTCACAGATGACGAGTTGCTGAGCTCGCTGGAGTCTCGTTAAAGTACATTTTACTCATTTTTATGGCCATAGAAGGGCCATATTGTTTGCAGTTAGGGACCCGAACGAGGGAAGGAGAGGCAACCCAGGGACCCAAGGCACTGGCTTGTATGGTGAAGATTTTCACACTATTTTCTTCGTTGTGTATATGACAATGTTGTGTAGTTTTATGGCGCTGACAAGGTCAAAGGTCACCCGTGCATGCAAGGGTCGTTCTACTTTAGCACACAACATACATATACATGTATATGATATACTTTCCAGGTTTAATTTATTAAGTTTATTTTGATTAATGGAAGACACATGTACATGTAGCATTTACGAATGTTTATATCGTTTAATTTTGATTTGATTTTATTAATAGGTTTTTTTTAATATATAATTTTATATATTGATGATGAAATAAAGACGACTCGATCAGTACTAACTACACCCCTGAACCTGACACCACAGTTTCACTACATACACTCGTAAAAACAATACCTATTTTCAGTATTGCAGTCGAGTCACTTTAGTCGAGTCCGGGTCAGAGTCTCGAGTCATTTCAAGTTGGGTCGAAAACGAGTCCTAGTCCGGTCATGGCTGTTCGAAAATTGACGTGCAAATCACAGTGCAGTGATGATCATGTATTATGTAAACGGGAAGCCTATGCATAATACGAAACGCTTTACCATGTCAGCAAGGTGGGAAACACCCCCATAAAATACCCAAAATGTTTAAGCGCCCCTAACGGTGACCCTTTGCGCTGAAAACTAATATGATTCAACGACTAACTACGCCAAATACGACGGCGTTTGAATGAAGATAAATAGATTTGTAAAACAAAAATATGTTTTCCAAAAAAATAAGCCCGCAAAAATGGTAAAGCGCCCTCCTGTGGTCACCACAGCGTAAATAAATGATGTCATAATAATATAGCCTATTAGATTTCTCTCAAAATTCAGGAACGTTCGGCTGAAAATACATCTTACGATGGTGGGCACCAAAAGATTTTTTGACACTGTTCAATAAATATCGTCACCGACACCACGAATTAACACTCTACCGTGTTTAACCATATTTTTTTCGATTTCCATTTTTTTGGATTTTTAAACATTATTCATCAAGGCCTACCATTGCACGAAGTTTCAATGCTTCAAGAGCTTTACTTTAATAATTACGCTAAGTATCCATGGCAACTATTGCGCAAAAGTGAAGAAGTAACATTCAAGTTCTATTTACCATTGCAATGCATGACGGGCACTCTGCTCAAATGCGAGCAAAAACGTTTTCACGAAGTAACAATCTTGTTGTTTGAATGCACGCGCGCTGACCTCCGTTTCCACGAAGTAACACTCTTCTAGTGTTGTAATACATTGAAGCGTGCTACTTCGTGAAAACGAAATTTTACAGTTTCGCAGCTTTTTTGGTTTCACGAACTAGCACTCATCTTTTTTCTCTTATTTCTGTTGTTTTAATTAACAAACGAGTCAAAAACAGCAAATTTAATAACATCAATACGTCAAGTGCCTACAACGAGAAACTCAACTGAAAATACTCTGTTTAGTTTTGACGCAAAGTGTTGTTCTAGAAGGCGTTCAACTTTAGATGCCGTTTTCTCCGATTGCTAATTTTTACCGGTATGTACATGAGTGTTACTTCGTGGTGTCGGTGACGATATAATTACCACCCTGAAAATCGAATCCAAAATCCTCTCAATACTTTCTTGAGTAACAGAAACAGAACAATTTTGATGCTTCAATGCTTCAAATCAAATTTATTCAAATGTATTCCCTTCACCTCAAAATGAAAACAAAAACTGTATCACGTTTATACAACCGCAGCAAATATTTACATAGAACATTGTTTGGGAACAGTACAAGACTTGCAATTAATGACTGATCATAAGTGTAAACATAATCTGGGTGAACAATACAGGTGAAGAGGCTCAATTTGGGAGACTGTTTTGGAAATTTCACAATGATATCTGGTGGCTTTCATCAAGTCCTTTTTAATGTTAAAATCCGCCAGAAATGTGGTCTCTTCAAATTAACAGTCTGTTTCAAACCAAAAATGTTGCCTGACAGTGGTCTGCAGCTAAGCGTTTTGTTAATTTTGAAACTTCAGTCACTAATTTCGTCGTACGCCTTATTGTTATCCCGGGGTAAAGAGATTAATGTGAATACCTAATAGCACGTTTTGTGAAAAGAAAACAGGGTTCTATACGTGTAGAGTGTTATCGGTATTGGTATAAGAGCTGAACAGTGGAAACAGTCCTTCACGAATGAAAACAATACTTTCAAGTGACCTATTTGTAATGCATTTTAAAGTCTTTAAATCGAAAGAAGAAAAACAATGTCGATCATTTTCCCGCTTTGTCCTGAAAATACAAACAAACAAAATACAAATAAATATCTTTCGGTAAAGATCCCATGGTTTAGAAAGTAGGTGGCTTTTGAAAGCAAAGACTCTGCTTGTCTGATATTGTTCCTATCAAGACGTCTTTCTTATTTTGTTTCATTTTGAACACAGCATTGCATATACTTAACTTAGTTAATCTACTCCCTCAAATTCAACCCCCCCCCCCAAAAAAAAAAAATCACTTTAAGGACCCTCAGTTTATTGATTAAGGACCATAAAATCAAAGTGATAAAATTGAACCCAGTCTATGATGGTCCAGAGAGGCAAACAATAAAAAAAGGGAAATTACTGCTAATAATTGAACGTGACGCAAATTATATGTACTTACGATTTGAATCACATCCTGGTAAAAATTCAAGCATCGTTGTAGCATGTCGTCTGACTGTTAATGAAGAATCAAGATCAATATGGTATTTAAGGAAAATAGTTCTAGCCCTTCAAAAATCAGGTATTATAGTGGAAAATTATCACATCTGTTAATAGATCTCAATCCGGGTATTATAATTTTATAGTTGTTTTTGTTTGTTTGTTTATTTGTTTGCTGAGGTGTTTGTTTGTTTGTTTGTTTGTTTGTTTGTTGGGGGTGTTGGGGTGTTTGTTTGTTTGTTTGTTTGTTTGTTGGGGTGTTGGGGTGTTTGTTTGTTTGTTTTTGGGGGGGGGTTGTTGGGGTGTTTGTTTGTTTGTTTGTTGGGCTGTTTGTTTCTTTGTTTGTTGGGCTGTTTGTTTCTTTGATCGATGTGATCCAGGTTATGTTGCACGGTGAACTAGAAGCACTCACTGGAAGCATTCACCACGCGCGTCAGTGTAATAACACCCGTGGGCCGGGACCGGCGCCTGCACCGAGTGAGATGGGTAAATCATATAAATATTCATATCCTCCTGATTCTTGATTCTTAGCAAATCAGAGTGCTCCGTCCAATTTTGGTAGCAAGCTTGATATGTTTGATTTAAAGTCTAGTTTTGTACCCTTTTTTTGGGGGGGGGGGGGCAACTCACGTGATACGGGTATCGTAGTAGCTCCGGCTACATGACGACCAGCCGAGATCTAAGCGAGGATTCGCTTTGTATTGAGCCATCAAGTAACCCTTTGACGAGCAGCCGTTTCTAGGACCACCCGATGGACCTGAAGCATCATGCCACATGCCCAAGCTGTAATCGTTGCAAAAAAAAATGTAAAAATCAAGATGGCGTTGAAGGTTTCAATAACATCTTACCACAGATACGCCATTAACCAACCTGGTTCCCAGGGTGTCGAGCAATACGCTCCCACCACTATATACCTTCTCCCTCACCCTGGTATTAGATCATTTGCATATCCAATTTTGTTTGGATACGTATATATGCAAATGAGAATATTCTGGTGCTGTCCTGTGTTTTACACCAGTGTTTGTTTTTGTATGTGGTGTCTGGGATAAAAACAGAATCAATTCGTCGCAGCGTGAGTTACGAAAACACGATTTGTTTCAAGATAAAATGTTAATACAATCTTATCCAGCCAATATGCAGTATCACACTGCATATTAATGTTGGAAAGGAAAGGGTTATTTTTCAGAAGTTGTGGACGAAAGAATAACAGAATAAACGTGAAAAAAACGTAATACACGTTGAAAATAACAACACCAAGTACACCAAGTACACGATATAAATCCATTACCTGCTAATTGCAGGATACAGGAAGCAAGTTCCCATTTCAGGGCTTACTATTGGAAATGAGGTTGGAAATAAAGAAAGCTCTGGGGACGAGGTTGGTCATTAACCCCTTTCTCGTATATTCATTCCGCATCACTATTTCTCTTAAGTATTATTATTATTGGTTTATTTATACTTGCTTGCAACCCGAAGGTTGAAAAGTATTTTGGTACAACCTTAAAACGTCTAAAATAATACAAAAGCGTTTACATATTTTAATTCCTCTTAACGTTTGGATAAAAACACATCGGGTAAACTTTTCAATTTTTTTTCAGAGAGAATAAAAGGATCTAACCATCACAAAATAAATAATCCTGACATTAGTGAACGGGCAGTACAAACAATTATTAATCGAATGGAAGTCAGATCATTACGCCAAGTGTATCATTAGAATAAGTCATAGGCATCTTGAAATTGACTAAGCTCATGGGAATAAACTGACCAGGGATGCGTTCTAACAGGGTTGGTTGATTTAAATCACGTTGATTGAAATCACTGATATAAATTGCGATTTAAATCGAATGATCTTTTTTTAATATCAATGATTTAAAATCACTTCTTTGTAGAAATCTTATTTTTAGCGAAATAAATTGATTGCGGGTCATTTTAATCATTTAAATCAACTGATTCCACCTAGTTACAAAGTGTAAGATGTTCTTTACACTCTCAAACACCCCTACGTGGACTTCATCAGCATCGAATCAACTTACATGTAGGTTTTGCATAATTACCTGAATCATTGATTAAAGTCAAGATCTGAGTTTAAAAGTTTTTCTTTGAATTTGAATTTTAATGACAACACACTCACTTTTGCTTTAATCATTCATTGATCTGTTTAGTAATATTGTGAATCAGCTGTGCTGGTGTAGGCTTACCTGAATCATCTAAAGGTGTATTAAAGTCCCAATTGATAGTCTTATTCCTGTTTCACCATAAAAAAATGTAGATTGAGATTAATGGAATGCCTTTTAGAGGTGCAAGGCCTGATTTCTATTCTTCACCTCGTATGAAGGACCATCATCAAACACTATATTTTAATATTTTAAGTTCACAATATACATTCACATTATAATAACTATAAGTTTACAAGGATCAGTGCTGTCATTTTGAAAGTTTTATGAAATAAACATTCCCATGGATGACTGTACTCGTTTTGTGTACATACCATTACACATAACATAAATCACGTTTTTCATTCATATCTGCACACAATGTATCTGAGCTGTACCAATCAAGCCATAAAGTGTCTTCAGTTTTAATAATGTACCATTGGACCAATGAGGTAGACTACATGTATTGAACCAATGCAGATGAAATAAAGTGATTTACGTGATGGGTATAAGGGTGCAAGGGGAGATTTAGACACGTTTGTAGACATGAACATTTTGAAAATTGAATAAATAAAAAAATCCGAATTTTTTTTTTAAATCACGCAAAGGTGTTTTCGGGGGGGGGGGGGTGGTCCGCGCATAAGTCGGACGCCTCGTAGGTCCGACGCTTCACAAGTCTGACAAAATCTCATCTCCCAACCAAATAAAGACCCATAAGTCCGACGCCTCATAGGTCCGACGCCCATAGGTCCGACGCCTCATAAGTCCGACGCCTCAAGTCCGAAACATCGTTTGTCGATTGTCGGAATTATGAGGTGTCGGACTTATGAGGTGTCAGAGCAATGTGGCCGAATCCATAAGTTCGATGTCTCATAAATCGGACGCCTCATAATTCCGGAAATGTCGGACTTATGAGGCGTCGGACTTATGATACGGCCCCGTTTGCGGGCGTTTTTAATAGCTATGGGTCCTGCGAAGGCGCCAAACCAGCATGCCAAATTAACGATATCACCATTGTGATAGCACGTAGCTTTGAAAGTCCTCGAAAAATTATATGCGAATGGAAGCACGGGCGGATGTAGCTTTCAGGAAATGTGGGGCTTGAGGGAAGGCGTGCCTAAGGCACACCCTGCCAAGGGCATCCCCCCCCCACCCTAAAATGTTGAATTGTACAAAACATTCTCCTGCATTCTAATGCAGTTTGAGAATACATCTAGGAACTTAAGCATTCCATTTATTAATTTTTCCCCAATTTACGAGGACCAGAACATTAATCAGCGGCCGAAAGGGTGTTTAGGGGGTTGCAACCCTCCTCTAGATCCGCCACTGGGAAGTAGCTTACACGGGAATGTAGAAAACGAAAATTGTCATCCCTACAGGATCAATATTATAGGCTCCTTGTGTGTGGCGGCCATTTTTGGTGAACATAGCAAAAAGATTATAATTATGTTTGCCATAATAGCTACTAAACTCACTTGTGTCCGATCTCGTGTGCGGTAGTGCCAGTGGCATCCAATCCACGGAATTCACTGAGTGATGCACCCCACTGGCCACACTGCCCAACGTAGGCTATGCCCAGTAAACCGTCACCAGCCGTTGAACTTGAAATGTCTACTCTGTTTGGGACGAAAGGAAAACACAAAGCGCAAAGGGTGTGGAGTAGTTTTATCATTTCATGTAGGTATTTGGAGTCCAAAACTAAAGTCTATTATTGAAACATCTGATCAAAATTATGGAACCTGCATTGTTTGTTTGTTTATTTTTCAAAACAAGGCTCAAAATCCGTCGAGTTTCACGCTCTCCACCCCACGTATTACACATGTCAAGTTTCGTTTTTAGTTCTTTTCTTACTTTGAGTATTTAGAATTTTTACTCTTTTTTAGTTGTTTTCTCCGTCCTGCTCTTCGAGATTCAACCACGAGAGTAAATCTGTTTTTTAATTGCTATTTCTAGCAAGACATTGTTTCCACTTCTAAATACGATATCGACAAAAAAATAGTTGTGATATTCCAATTTTGCTCTAGAAATCGATTTCGAATTATTTGCGGCCCGACAATAATCCGCCCCACTCGCAGACACAGATTTACGCCAATGTTGCGCACGAATACTCACCCTGTCAAGAATGCAGCGTTGTCCCAATGCTCAATGCTTGAGGACGATTTCCTATTATTATGTTGCCATTGCGCAGCGCCTTCAAGGTAGTCGTCAGCATCAACATGCATTACCAATCCAGGCTAAATAAACCCAGACAAAAACTATGTGATGATGGCAAGCAAATGGTCTTCGTCGAACAGTTCAACCTTGCTAAACTGTATAGCTATTGTTAAGGTAATACTGTGAAGAACGATTAAAACGCCTACACGTATTTTAATAGGGTAACAATGCATTGGAAACTGACATTTTCTTTCATGTGTCTTTATCATTTTCTTTAGGGCATATTTAAATTTTTGGCAAGAAGGGAATATGTTTAAAACGTGAGCCACAGTCCAAATAATCAAATTGTTGCAGACACTATTCTGTACCTTGCAAAACTTCCGTTATTGTTTTCGTTAAGTTAAAAAATATATCAATACAAAGAAAGACAGTTTCAGTCAAAGGATAGATGTAGCCTGGACACGTTAGACTTGATGCAATATTAAAAAAAAAAATACTTCATATGGGCTTCAGCGAATCCAGTCTTCATTAGAGATAGACTGCTTTAATTTGAACTTCAACTTTTGTTCCATGACTCTCTTCCATATGCTGTTTCACCATAAACCTACCTCCATTGATCCAAAGACCTTGACATACGTCAGCTTGGGAACCAGCGCAGTTCCTCTCAGAGAAACCAATTGCAAAACATTTTTCACCTTAATTATATATAAGAATGAGAAAGCAAAGAGGAAAAATCGCTGAAGAATACTTGTAAATATGCGTCTTTCATCACCAACAATGGTAGGCGCACAATGTGAAGAACCGCTCCCGCTATACCAACACCAAAGGTTACATCACCCGAAGTGCACGCCTGGACATCCACAAGTTCTAATTTTTCCCACGAACTGTGGTAGAGTGGAATGCCCTGGACGATTCATTAGTCAATGCAACGTCACTGATCAGTTTTTAGCAGCAACTCCAATAAATCCCCACACACCCTCGCACAAGCCTGGCTATTATACTCGTCATAGAGTCCAGCCAGTATAAGAGCAGAAGCAGAAGCCTTCTCAAAAGTATCAAAAATAAGGTAACAATGGTGACGACAAAATAATACCGGCAAAATGATAATGGGGGCGTGGTCGAGCAACACCTATTTGGTCAACTGCCTGCATCTGGCCTTCAAATTCATTCGGATTTGCTAATGACACCAACGCCGCCAATGGGCGCAGGAAAATAACTCAACAAAGGCATCTGTATCGCAACGTGGTATGAAAAACTGGCATAAGCTCGAGCACATGTAGGCCAATTTTCCCTTTCTTCCAATGGACTCTTTTTTTTTTTTTTTTTTTTTTTACTTTATAGGCTTACCTTTTTTCTTTACAACAGTTCCCGCTTTTCAACATTATTTGATGCTTTAGTGACACACTAGGTATACATTGATAAATGGAAAATTAGAGGCACTTATAAGGTCAACTGCTTTCGCTTTTTCGTTTAAAGCAATAGCTTCTTCTTTTTGACTGATTGTTCGATCCTAACCGATAATGTAACAACAGTTGACCCACGGTGTGGCAACATTTACTACAACTATTGGTCAATGATCGGTTATAGTGCTACAGCTCCGGTCAATTTGTGTGTGAAATTATAGGTTGGTGATACGCTATCCGTTGGTTGCTATATTATCAGTTGTAACAAACAGTCTAACCTTCACTTTGAGCAAGGTTTCTGTCATTATATAACCGGTATCGCATAATTGCAAATTATCGGATTTCATCCGAAAACTCACCGCGTTGAAGAGGGTGTTAATGCACGTGGTGGCTGTGCTGGTGCTGCCCCCTTTAATAATAGTGTACATTGGATCGGAAATGAATGCCAGCTCCAGATATTTCGTTGCCTTCGTGTCAATCAGCAAGGTTTCTGGCGGCTCGTCAGCAAATGTTAACGGCAAAGTTGGTGGCGCTTAGGAGAACAATTAAAAAACAAACCAGTCGGGCATCAAGCTTGGAGTTTGACAAGCTGTCATAAGAAACTGACGACTCATTGTCAAAAATTACCAACAAAAGGTAGATCAATGTTGAAATTATTGTGAGCAGGTTTATATAAAGGCGAAGAAATAGTTGAGCCTTTTAACTTTAGTTCAGCATTCCAGATTTCAGCTTCAGAATGAATGATCTGCGTCAGAAATGTGAGTTCTTTATTGTTTTGACTTACTTGCGGAATTTGTTTTAAAAGTGTGATCAATAAAAACAAAAGCAAATACATTATATTACGTTCTGTCTCGCAGAATGCCCCTCTTTCCACTGGTCTGTTCCTATAGGCAACGTGCGGGTGACCCCGACCAACATCTCGCTTGACGGCATGTTCGTCATCTAGTGGCTCGATGTAAAGCTCACCACGGCCATAGTTGCGAAATATGACCGCCATCTTGCAAAAAAGACACCATTCAGAAAATAAAACAACCGAATAAAAGGCATGCAAACAGACCTTTGGTGTCGGCTCCAGACAAGGATTACTTTTGAAATAATTCCTTTCATTATTTACTTGGGAAATGTCAAAACTTATTCCAATCAATGATACTATAAACCCTTCATCAAACATTTTGGTGGCAGCTATGGGATTCACCGTAGCACTAGGCCGATGACTTACCAAGCCGTCACAAACGGTTACGGATGCAAGAGAGTCCTTTTCACCGGCTACCTTCCCTGTGTAGACGCAGTCAGTCCGAAGCGGCACTTTCTGGATGCCTTCATCTGTGTAGATCTCAACCTTGAGTCCAGGGGCATAATTACTGTCGTCGTGGTCTACGATGAGGTTAAGCGTCTCTCCAAAGGCTTCGACTTCCAGTTCTAAGAATGAGGCGGCAGTGGCTCCCTTGCCAACACTCCTTTTGCCTTCAGCTTCGACTACGAGTGGGTACACGATCTCATATTCCGGGGCTACACAGGACAGAGAGAAAAATGTTATGGTCTTCAATGCAATGAACTTTTGGTGACTTCTCTCAACACTACTTTTTTAAAAACTATTGCACCTTGTAATGAGCGTGCACAAAGGAATGCGTTGTGGCAATGCATTTTGGAATATTGAGTTTAATAGCTAGCATCGTACTGATGTGCAGTATAGTGTCAGGTTTTGTAAGTGATACTGAACCGAAATAGTTTTGCAAATAAAACGCATCAGCTTTGCGAATAAACGCAGTAGTTTGCAAATAAACCCGATACATAAATTATACTTCGTATAAACAAAATATTTATGCGGCAATGTTCGTATTTCTTATGAATCGAGAGACGTTCATAATTTTGTCATATTCCGTGTGGAAAGACGTCACTAAAATAAAACGATGTTTTAGCGCGGATGCCCACATCAATTGCAAATACCTTTTTCGTGGCTTTTAACACCGAAGTAGCGAGAGAGCTCCTGTGTTGTAAATTCAAGATCTTTGGTACGAACCTACGCAGCGGAAAAAAATAAGGAATACGAGTGTTTTCAGGTGTATTCAATACACCCAAACCACACCCTTTTGTACTTCTTGGAAAATAAATCATTTATAATTGGGTGGTGTCTTTTACACCTTTTGTAAAATGTTATATAAGATAGAGGATGGATATGAGTTTCCACAAAATTTCTATTGCAGTTAAACTTGCTTAACCCGCGTAGTCGACTATTTCCCCTGGCGAATGTTCAATATTCATGCTGATTTATCATGAAGGACAAAAACTACTTTTTTCTCTCTACTTTTGACGTTGTTACCCCTTTCGAGAACTTCAAGACGCTTTTATTTTGGGTTCTTTTCGTGCCCAATACAGCACACACAAAAGAAAAAACGACTGGAGTATTTCCGGGCCGCAAACAATTCGTAATTTGAAAACTAGTATTTGGGTAGTCTGAGGATCAGATATTCACGTGTGCAAGAGCCACGGTCGAACGCCTGATATATCCCATCATGTAACGTTTGTGCGACCCCGCGCGCCAGCCAATTGCGTGACGTTATTTCGATCAGAAATGTGGACTAAGCTGCTGATTGGTCTATTTGGATGTACAGGGAGTGAGGGAGAGCAGTCTTAACATTATTCAGGTTGGTACAGGTTTTTGAAAACCATTTGTCTGACAATGAGGATACTATTCATCTGTATTAAAAATGTTCAAAACGCTGCATGCATCAAAACAAAAAATAGACACAATAAACGAGGTACGATTATAAAGTACCATGGATAAAAAAAAATCGTCAATATCGACAAAATAATCGTCAATGTTCGAAACATTATCTTGCAAAGATGCACTGAATGAAGAGTCTACGTACCCCTGGCTTGGAGTAAGCCGTGTAGGCCAGCACGGCAAGCACGACCATCTTCAGCATCATTCTGCAGCTGTTGAGTCTGTCGGAATGACGAATTTGAGTCATTTTGTGGACTTTTTATAGGCTACGTTTGGGCTTGTCCACGCGCCCAAACCCCCGTTTTTTAACAAAGGGAGACAAACAGAAGACCTCTCACCGTCTCATGTAGCCCCAGCACGCGCTTCTTGGCGCCCAATTCAAACGTCCTATAGTTTCCACACCAGCATCAATCAACACTTAAGAACGTGCTGGTGTTTCACAATAAATTGAAATATTTTAAACTATACTTGTGTTAATTGAGTCTGAGGGCAATTTGACCGTACAACTTTATTATGGTGTTCTAAAACGGACAGGTAAACGTCGTAAGCTTGAGTTTCAAACGTCGTGTGAAACTCACGCACTCGACGTTTGCATGTCCCTTTTAGAACACCATGGTAGCTACAATAAGTACAATAGATTACTATTCATTTGATAAAAGAATAGGGCTACACCTTTTTCCCACGGCGGTGTGAAACATGCCGGGGCTCGAGCCGCTTATGTTGGCTGGTGGATGTGTGTGTGTGTGGGTGTACAAGCAATACATTCACTTGAGTGGACTTCCGAACAAAAGATGTCCACATAAATCAGGTAGCAACGACATTTTGTGGACTTGCCCACGTCCACACAAGGTTTCCCCCTCTGGAAAACAGGTTTAGAGGCATATTGGGGTTAGCTTTATCTGTGGCAAAATAAAGAGAAACACTAAAGGGGATCATAGACAAAAAAAAATGGGTTGAAAGAGTTTTCCGGTTTGAGTAAAATGAGTTGTTTTCACTGGTTTTTCTGAACTACACGAAAACAAAGGAATGTCCACACTAGGTATGTAAAACAAACATGGGTTTGTACAACCACTACCTTATGGGGGTACCGGAACAATGGGATGTACCCCACAAGGAATGCCCACCGACTTTGGATTTTGCTCAAAAACTAGGAATTTCCAAGGTGGGTTGATCCGTCGCAAATGGAAGAGTTTTAGAACAGGGATATTTAGTCCGAATTTCAGCCCAGAAAATTAATTCTGGTTAAAATAAAAGCATTTTGACGTTAGTATGCGACGTTGCAAAATGTTATTACACGAGAACAAAATGAAGTACCCCATTTCTATGCCTGTGTAGGGGTGAGTTTGTCTTACATACGCAGTGTGGACTTCCGAACAAAAGACGTCCACATAATGTAGGTAGCACCGACGTTGTGTGGACTTACCCCACGTCCACACAGTGTTTCCCCATTTCTGGAAAACAGGTTTAGAGGCATTTTTGGGTTAGGTTTATCCGTAGCAGAATGAAGAGAAACACTAAAGGGAATCATAGAAAAAAAATTGGGTTGAAAGAGTTTTCACAGTTTGAGAAAATGAGTTTTTTCACTGGTTTTTCTTAACTACACGAAAGCAATGGAAAGTCCACACTAGTCATGTGAAACAAGTATATATATATATATATGTGTGTGTGTGTGTGTGTGTGCGTGTACAAACACTGCCTTGTGGGGTACCGGAACAATGGGAGGTACTCCACAAGGAATGCCAACCGACTTGCGGGGTACCGTTTTGGTACCCCACAAGTTTTTCACGAAATAGATATATGGATTTTACTCAAAAACTAGGAATTTCCAAGGTGGGTTGATTTGTCGCAAATGGAAGAGTTTTAGAAAAGGGATATTAGGTTGGTTGGTTGGTTGGTTGGTTGGTTGGTTGGTTGGTTGGTCGGTTGGTTGGTTGGTTGGTTGGTTGGTTGGTTGGTTGGTTGGTTGGTTGGTTGGAAACTTTACTCGGTCGGAGTATCCTCAGCGAATTGCAATTTATATTGATTTTCACCGCCCTGACATAATAATAAAAGTTTGCATTTTGAAGTTTCATTTGCTGTAGGAGTTCATTATTTGAAGAGCATTTTGAGGATTTTTTTTTTCATCAATTCATTAAACTTGAGGGTTAGAAAGTAAATTGAATTTCAAGGTTTCCCGAACATGTTATATCCCGAGCCGCTTTAGTAAATTGGTTGAAACTTTTAGGCTGGTAGTCCAATTATTTGAGAGTGCCTAAGCATTATGAGTTAATTTAACGCCTCGATGCAACTTAACCGTAAAACAAATAACTATTTTAATTGAAATAAGGAAACTGGCCTACAACTATTTAAAAAAGACACTTGAACTGTTAATGATCTTGAATTGTGGATGTCACTTAATTACATCTTCTTTAGGTAGGCAAATGCTGAAATCCAAGAGTGATAATGTACATTCAGCTTTAAATAGACACGGTATTATTGTCCATTTTCTGTGTCCAACCATGTCTCTTCCATCTGTAGGTCAGTTAATTTTCACTACGTAACCCCTGGCGCATTCGCCATGTCACCATGATGTTCGTACATTTATAACATCCCGGCTTGATTACTGCAATTCTCTCCTATTTGGTATAACTCAAGGTGAAAAACATAGACTACAAAAAATCCAAAACCGTGCTGCTCGGCTCATCTTCTCTGTCAAATGCACTGTACAGGCTACTTCTCTTATCACCAATCTTCATTGGTTACCCATCCAGCAGCGTATATCATTCAAAGTTCTTTTGATGGTTTACAAGTGCCTACATGGTATTGCTCCTCCTTGCTTGTGTGACTTACTCACTTTGTATCAACCAGGCAGACCGGGATTAAGATCTTCCGACGATAGACTTCTCTCTATTCATACAGGTTCAAAATTGGGGGACAAATCTTTTTCAATAGCAGGCCCCAAATTATCTCGGGAACACTATTCCCATCAACATCAGGGACGCCTTATCTCTCACCATTTTCAAGAAACGTCTGAAAAGTTTCTTTTTCATAACATCATAGTCCTCTCTTGTACAGCGCTTTGATCTATCTTGTAACAGCGCTTTATAAATACTTTATTATTTATTTCTTTATTTCATTGTGAGTTACCCTGAACGGTAAGGCAACCAGATTCCCAAACATAGCATGGTGTTTAAAAAGAAACGGTGTCCCGTTGCGACCTGAGTGTGGAATGGATCATTCATTTTATACATTTATATGAGACGCGTGCTTCTCAGAGAGTTCCTGATCAACGAAGTGACAAAAACCAAACACACCATCCTTCAACCTCCCCCCCCCCCCCAACGTTTGCATTGTGAAGTTTCATTTGCTGAATGAGTTCATTTTTGAACAGCATTTTGAAGTGCTGTTTTTTCATCAATTCATTAAACTCAAGGATTAGAAAGTAAATTGAATTTTAAGGTTTCCCGAACATGTTATATCCCGATTCGCATTAGTTTATTGGTTAAAACTTTAGGCTGGTAGTCCTAGAGGAACAGTAGAATCACGTGACTTTGCTTTGGCGACATTGATGCCTGAGACAAGTGCACAGGATAATTGGCTCAAACCGGTTTTTGATCAAAATACAAACATGCCAAAATGCCCAGCGCATGTTTAATATTTTTAGAACTGACAATTTGCAATGTTAGTAACTGCAGAGACCCGCTGGAACAAAGTCTCATCGCGAAGGCATCTTTCAACATCTTGCAATGCTTAATGGTCACATCATACTTTGAGCATTGCGGGACGCTCCTAATTCAGCTTAGACTTGACTCCAGTTGGACTCAAGTCGATATACACACCACACATTGCCATCACAACCCACTGAATTACATCATTAAAGGAAACGTGCAGTGGAAATTCAGCTCATCTTGTTTTCATGTTCATTACTATGTGCTGCAACAATACATTCAAGATCTAAATACTTGTTTTCATTGGAAGTGACAAGAGAGTGGTAGCTTTTCAATTATTAGTAAATCCTTTCATCAACACATGTAAGAGGGCGCTATTTTGCTTTTGTCACACAAGGTACTCCTTGTCAAAAGTGCCAATATGGCGGCCCATATGGCCGGCCGCCTCATTGGTAAAAAAAAATAGAAAAACGTCATATATTAGCCAAATATTGTGCTCTCTAGGAGGTAGCATTTCCTGGATGGGTACATCTAATTCTACCTCTATGATCTGACCTCTTCCACTGCGCTGCCCTGTACCGGCCCTTTGAGGCCGGTATGATCCTCAGCCGGTATTTTTGCCCCTCAGTCACTCAACAAACAACCTACTGGTATGCAGCCTGATGTCTGCCTCCAAAGTTAAACAAAGAGTTCTAAGCGGATTAGTGTCTATTGTTTAAACATGGCGTAAACAACTTTCCAGACTCTATCTTTCCATAGATGGATGGCTGGCACATATTTATTCATTACATTTCATTTGAGCGTATTACCTAGCAGTTTGGTTTCTATGAAAGTGAAATTTAGCAAAAGAAGAAGCAGAAATTAATCCCTAATTATTTATCACAACCATTCGCCTGTAACTGACTCCCGAGGAAAGTGGCCAGTTAATTTCTATAGCAGTAACGTACCTAAGGCCTTTTGCTGACCGTGGAGGATTAAGTTGATTAAATACTCCTCATTGTTGGGTCCCAGATGATGGACCTGCAATTATCAGGTATGAACACAATAGATTACCTATACATGTATTGAGTGGGTGCCTTAGCCGGACACTGGCCGATTGCGCGGCCATTTTGAAGAGGATTAAACTCACCGGCCAAGCTACCGGCTGGCCTGTACTTAAACCGGCCGGTGATGGAAGCTCGGCCTTACTACCGAATGATCTTGAATTTGGAACATGTTAGCAAGTAAGACAAATCGAGATATTCTATGAAGTCTTTTTAAGAATAATCTCAACTTTCACTGATATATGTCATTTACATCTATGGCAAATATATTGTAACGGCGGTGCCGGGCCGCCGGCAGAGGGCGCCAGCACGGACCCACGGTGCAACCGTAGCGTTGGGACCCCTGCTGCTGGGCCAGGGAGACCCGTTGCCAGACTGCGCCGACTCAGTAGTGTGACTTTTGTATAGCGTCCCTTTTTGTTGTGAGTTGTATAAAGAGAGAGCCTCGTGTAAAGAAAGTGGCAAGAATAAAGCGGCCGGAGAGCCCCGAAACCCTGAAGAATAGTGTCTGTGGT